ATACTTTTCATATAATATTAGATTTTTTTTATGTTGTTTCATTTTTTTATACTATTTTGACCGCCCTGGACTTACCGGTTATGCCTATTGAACCACTTCAGACCCATGTCCGATTAACCGTTCCGATTCGATTTTTCCTATTGCAAATCGAGATCAATCGTTTCTGGTTTCTAGCTGGGAAGGAGGAGCCTCTCTAACCCCATCCCTACTAGAATCGATATATGTGAAAAAGGTTGAAAGCATTCACAGTTTAAACCACTGGCGAAACCCTGCATTTTTTTCAAACCTACAATTTGCATGAGCATGGGGGAGAACGAGAGAGAACACATTAAAGCCTGAGCCTGACCTATCCAAGATTAAGAACAATTTTCATATCAAAGTTAACACTTGGTACTAATAATTCTACACAAACATACAGAAGTAATGAGCTAGGTTACAGAAGCATAAACCTCGTATCAGTCAAGGCGCCAGTTAACCAAGTTACAGGCATAGCAAGCACACCACTTATGAATTATTTAAATAACAACATTAAAGTTTACACCAAAAATCCATAGATGGAAAAAACACAAAATAAAGCAAGGAGGACTCGAAATATTGAAGTTTCTCTTCACTTAAATGGAAGTAAGATCCCCATAAATCTAAATTAAATGAAAGTGAAGGAACTAAGCTAAGAACTCTGGTTCAAATAGCCACATCGAAAGCGAGTAGGAGTAAAAGGTAAAACGTTGAGGCCTGGAGAACCCCAATTCCTTTTGAGACAGCCATTGAGCTTGCACCTTTTGACACTGTACAAATACATCGCCACCTTTGATATTTGGACATCAAAACAACTTCTTCCAGTGAAATTTTTGAGGTAAGCTCTAATTTGATTGTTTAGATCCTTGGCTATATATAAGTTTTTCTTTTTAGAAATAAAGAATAATATACCAGTTAATTATAGATCTCTGGATGTATCAAATTTTTAGCACTCTTTTAAAATTTTAGGTAACAAAATGAGTTTTTTTTATTTATTATAGTACTTGTATCGTTTGTCATTTAACCTAATTATATTTTATTTATTAAATATATAAATTTAACAAAAAAATAAAAAAGCACGGGTTGACGGACCTGCCACATTTTTGTTGCCCAAAATTTCCCCATTTCATATTTTAGGTAAAGTTTTCGAGTCCGTGTGTACATTACTCTAAAATTTAAAGCTCTAAAAATAGTGTAGATCATGCCTATCTATGAACATTTGATAATCTTGAAAATTGGTCCAGATAATACATAACAAGATGCACTATTTCCAATATTTAAAATCTATTTTTTCTCATATTCATATATCTTGAACTCGAAATGATCAATTTGAGGATTTTTTAGCATTGAAATAACATTTTCTAGTGATTTTTAGAGGTGAAACTTAATTTGATTGTTTAGGGTCTCACCCTTATATAAATTTTTTCCCTCATAAAAACCACGCCCTTTTTAAAAATAAGTCACTTGCATAGAACAAAGTAAAGCATGGCCTCAAAATTCATCAAAAGTTATAGTTTGGAAAACCTTTAACTCCATCATCTCGACTTTGATCATTATGGTTGTCAAAAAAAAAAAGGATTTCAAGCCCTAGAAATAATGTAAATTGTAACATGTTATCTCGATTGTATATTTTTAGGTATTTAGTAATTCACTATATCTATACAAATTATATTATAACACGTTATCTCGATTGTATATTTTTAAGGGGAAATACTAGTCCAAGGGCCCATATTGAATTTGAGCCGATTTGATGGACACAACTTCATTTCGTATTTTAAATTTTTTTTTTTTTTATAGGTTCAAATCATGTGAAATTTTGGATATATATTCTTCTCATCAAGGAGCACCTAATAAAAATATTAAAAAATAATTCGCAAGATATAAATTGATTAAAATACCCCTGAAATTTTTTGGAGTATTTTGATCAATTTATTTTTCATGAAATATTTTTTTGATATTTTTATTAGATTCTCATATTTTTAAAAAACATATGCCCAAAATTTCAAGTGATTTGGATTTAAAAAAAAAAACTAAAATTCATATACAAAATGCAATCATAATCATTTGATCGATCCAGATTAAATCTGGACCATTGGGCTCATATGTAGTTGTAGACCCATTGGCCTACGTTAGCATTTCTCATTTTTAAGTATTTAGTAATCCTCAATATCTATACAAATCTCTGAGCTGCAAGTTTCATAATCAATGGTGGAAATAGATCATAGAGCCATCTTAGGGATTTTCCACGCTCGAAATGTTTTTCGAACAAGATTCTAGGGTGAGGCTTTACTCTCTCGTTTTTTTTTTCCACAAGGCCTAAGTTTTGTAGAAACTACATTCTTATTTTTGGAAGTGTACTATAAAACCATTTATATTGGTTACAAAAAGGTTTACAAGATAGATAAATTAAAGGAAAAAGTCTATATAAGGTTGAAACCTTAAAATGTAGAATTAAAGATGTACCTCAAAAATCTATCACAAAAGGTTGTTTGGATACTGCGAAACCCTCTAATTGATTATCTCGACATCGAGACGTATGAGCACAAAAAGAAATTTCAATTCTGTGAAATAATATATCTTGCAACACATTATCTAGACCGTCCCATTTTAGGATTTTTAGGTGTTGATAAATCTTCTTGATTTGAACTATTCTTAAAAGTTTAAAATTTTATAACTAGATATTAAAATAGATTTTCATGCCATCAAAAGAATTTTGGATATCAAAATTACATTTATGATAAAATTTATAGGTGCGCCTTAATTGGATTGTTAAAGGTTACAACCTAATGCAAACCACACCCTCTACATAAACATCCTCTACTTGATAGGAATATTAAAAAATATAACATATTTTATATTGGAAAAAATTTATATAAGTGCGAGGCTCTAACAATCAAATTGAAACGCATCTCAAAAATTTCACTAAAAGAGGTTGTTTTGATGCCCAAATATAGACATGAGAAAAAATGGATTTTAAGTTTAAAAAATAGTGCTTCTTATAATGCATTTTTGGATCATCAATTTTCAAGATTTTCAAGTTTTCATTGATCTACTCGATCTACACTATTTTTTAAACTTTAAATTTTATAATTAGAGATGAAAATATATTTTAAAGCTATCACAAAGTTAAAACCAAATTTCTTGACACTATTTGAAGGTGCGGTTTACGTTGATTGTTTAGAGCCTCGGCTCTATACAAACCGCACCCTTTTACATTTTCAGTTGAAGTCTTACTTTTTAATCATTTTATGTTGAATACCTAGTTTTTTTATCATTTACTCCCTCATGCGCCCAATGCTTCCGAATATAAAAAATACAGAGAAATATAACTTTGGCATAAAATGTATTATTTTTATTCTAAATGTAATTTTTTTTTTCTAAATCTAATTTGTACAATGATTTTTCAGCGAATCTCTCTAAATTAAAATGATGAATTCCTTTTTTTTTGGTGGGAATGGATTAAAATGATGAATTCCTCTACTTTTTCTTCTTCTTGTTGGAATGGATTGGCCTCAATGGGGGGGGGGGGGGGGGTGTATGAAGGGACGAGAGAATAATGGAAGATTGCGAGCGGTCATAAATAAATAAAGCCCAAAAAAAGGAAAGAGTTTCAACATAACAAAGAAATCTCATGTCTCTCTCAAAACTCTGTATCTCTCTCTCTCAAAACTCCGCATCTATTTTTTTTCCCCAAAAAATGGAAAGAGTTTCAAAAGAACAAAGATGAGCACTCAAAGAACTCAAAACTCACTTGAGACGTCCTCAAAGAGAACTCTATTAAAAAAAAAATTTATTGAAGTGAATCCAAAAATCCAAATCCAACCAAAACTAAGTAAATACGAAATATGACTAAAAATCAACAACTTTCAAACTAAAAATCAGCAAACACAAGGAGAAATACAAGAGCGGTTAAGGGAGGTGTGTTTCTCATAAAACAAAATTTCTCAACAAAAAGAAATTGAGGGAGGTGTGTTTCTCATAAAACAAAATTTCTCAACAAAAAGAAATTGAGGGACGGGAAGAAAGAGACCTTGTTTTCTTTGGTGGGGTGCAATATTGGGACAGATTGTTGCAACTGATCGTCTTTCTCATCAAATTATTTACAGGAGAAATATTATTGGAATTGAATCCCTCTATTAATCTCACCCCCAAATACCACAACACCGCTATTTCCATTGCTGCTATCCTGCAAGCAATTGTGGTCATTGTTGCCGCACTGCGAGCAGCTCCGCTAAGACATCCTCTCTCTAGTGCCACCCCCTAGAGAGAGAAACAGAGGAGATAAAATGCACTCTTTCTTTTTACTTGAAACTAAAAAGAGGAATATGGATATCTCGAGCAAAGAGAAGAGAGGATGAGAGAGGTGAAAGACGGATTTTTTAGAGAGAGATAGAGATAGGAGTCATTTTACCAAATGTTTAAGTCAATAATATATAGTCAAAGAGGTCTAGGCCGTAAAAAGATAGAAAAGATAGATTTTATGCCGCAAGAGATAGAAAAGATAGATTTTATGCCTCAAGAAATAGTTTAAATTCTTGAGTCTCTTGATAAATGAAAGCCAAAAATAAAAATTACAGAGATATTCTTATTTTTATTTTTATGCAATAATATGTTGGATTTACTTGTCATTTAACAATAAAAGAGTTCATTGCCAAGGTTTTGTTAGACATGGTCAACAACCCTTGGAATTGATAACTTCTAAAGATAAATATACCTGTAGAATTTCACAGCTTTTTTCCTTATCTCAAAATGCTATAAGGTGATCTACTTGACGTTTCATTAAATTTTTTTTTGTTTCCTTCCAAAAAATCTATCAAACTAAACATGACCATAAGTTGGAATAGTTTAAAAGGGGTAAAATTTTAAATAATTGACGAGATTAGATGTGTTTTGATAACTTTGGATACCTAACAACTTGAAGTTCAGTACAACAAAATGAAGTCATAAACACCAAATGGGAGTTTACCAAAACACTAAAACAGATATATGTACGACAAAGAGTGACTCTTTAACAGTTTCCATGTACAACAAAAGGTCTTTTTCATCAGAATTCTTTAGCATTTCCATGTACAACAAAAAGGTGTTTTTCATCAGAATTCTGTAGCATTTCCATGTGAGGAAACACGGAAACAAAATGGAACCCACTACAGCAAAAAATGACAAGAAATCGTTATGGATCCTGGGACTTTTTCCCAATTCTTTCAATTGGATCTTCTGAACATCCTATTGAAGTTAGAGATCTCTCTTTTGGAGTAAGATTGCTTGGATAAGAACGTCCCCGCAAACGAGTAGTAACGACCTGCATGTCTTCCACCATCACTTCCAATAGTCTCAAGGCTGCTCTCAATTCTTTATTTTCCCCATCTAATTTAGCAATTTCTCCATCCTTTCTAGCAATGACCATCTCTTTATATTTGGCCTCCTAAAATTATGCATGCACAGTAAAGCCACGTTTACTTTTATGATGGATTTTGAAGGGAAAAATCACAAAAAGAAGATGAAAAGAGACCTAATGCTTTACCTCATCCTTCATGGCCAGCTCTTGCTCATAAGCTTCAATCTTATTCTTCAATGCCTCCATCTTGGTAGTATTGTCATCCAGTTCAGTTCCTGTATCCTGGGGCTTCAATCCATGCTAACGATTGGCCCAAGGGGAAAAAGATTTCGAGTTAGTACGATTCATCAGTAATTTTGGGTTAGTCCAAAATATTGTGAGATGTTCAAGGTAGCAAGCAATAAATAATTACGATTACTCAACTAAGAAATGAGGTAGTTCATGCATAGATTTTCATTCTAATACACACAAAACACCAAAGTAGGGGACTCAGAATTCTAAAATGAAGAAGAGATTTCAAAATATAAGCTTAAAACAAACAAATGAATAATAGATAACAAATAAAACAACAAATAAAATAAAACAAAATACTTTTAAGAAAAATAAGAAACCTTTAGAACCTTCCAAACAGTGATGACAAGAAAACCCTATTAGAGTATCTTGCCTCTGCCATGATCAAAGTTCCAATCTGCAATGATCTTGCAGAACTCTTTCATTTCCTTGAAATCATCCCCATCCTTACTTCCGACTTCAAAGTTAGCTTGTGAAGCAGGAGAATTGGAGGAGAGTCAACCAGGATTATCCGGCAGATGGCAAGGCATTAGAAGTTCGTGGAAATAAAAGTTTTTTGCATTAGAGTACAGGAGGCAGCTATAGTTTGTTTGTTGGGAAACCAGTACATCAACCTATGAAATATACAAGGCACACAATGCATTTTGATCATAGGTTTTTGGTTTCAATTTAAAAACCAAATCTAAATGAGCAAAACACATATGCTGAAAATAATCTCCAGCTAGATAAAGAAAACAGGATTAAAGGCAGAGATGAAAGGATGTCTTCCCCCACAAACCTTCACTGAAATTCTCAACCTAGCTTGAAAAAAGAAAAAAAAAAGCATTAAAATATGGGATTGTATACAATGAGACCATTTATCTTTGATACAAAGTGGTCACGATTACTTACAATCATCCGATGTGAAATTCAATAGTTTGGATGTATCACAAAGTTCGAAAAAATTTCTTGAGATTTGAACTTTGGTCAATGGAATAATTGCATCCACCCAATTTCACATCCAATAGCCAAGATTAATGTGACCACCTTGTACCAAAAGTAAATGATCTCATTCTATACTTTCCCTTAAAATATAGTACCTCCATCTCACTCTTGGACATAGTTTTCGTTTTAGTGTTGTCTGTCGAGTAATGGATGGCATCAAGCATGGAGACCAATACTTCCAAAATAATTGTGTTGTTAAACATAAAACCCGTTTGTGGGCTGAGATCATGGATAGGGATAAATGACGGCCAGCTACAGCCTCTTGCCTGCCCACCAAATATAAAGGGTGCTTCTGATTGAAAAATAAACCACACATTTTAGGACATTTCAATTCAAGGAATCATATATTACCTGAACCATGTAAATATTAAAATATGCCCAATACTTTGAAATACAGAATTCAAATATTTAAAACAAACTAGGAGAAACCAATCTATGCAGTAGAGAAATCCAACAACTCCTTGAGACAGGATAGAACCCAAGCACGAACTAGCTCAAACACCACTAGCATGATTGTTATTATTATTAGCATTGAATAATCAAATAATATGCATAATCAACAATAAAGGGCATAATATCATTACTGGACAAGAAAACCATTACGAACTGTGATATTAAACATGAAAACAGACTTGGTATAATTAATCTAATGCAGTAGAAAAAACCAACTCCTCGGTGAGACAGACGCGTCCAAGCAGGAACTATCACAGTAAGGGCATAATCGAATCAGAATTCAAGCACATAAAACAAACTTGGGAAAATCAACCCAGTTCAGTAGGAAAAACCAATACCTCAGAGAGACAGGATAGAATCCAAGCAAGAACTAGCGCAAATACCACTACCATGATTGTTTGCGTTATTGGCTTTGAATAATGGAGTAACATGCACAACCCACAATAAAGGGCATAGTACCATTAGGGGACAAGAAGACAATTAGAACTGCAATGTTAAACATGCTTATCATGCAACAACAGGACTAGGAAGAGCAAACTCTTGGAACCGCCTCTACTACACCCTGCGCTTCCAATTAATAAAGAAAAATAACAATTAAGCAATTGCAGTAATGAAAAGAAAAGACAGTTTACTCTCATTAGCACTCAAATCACCGAATCTAAGCCTACAACCTGTTCAGTAAAATGATTTAGTCTAACATTATCATAAAAGTGATTCATTTAACTTATCTCTATCTTCCTGACAAAATAAGAAAATATTCTCTAAACCTGCAGCCTGCAGGTGAGTGCATGGTGAGAGAGTAAGCCTGTAATTAAATTCATCCCACTATGAGATGTACTAGATTGAGTTAAAATCATTATCAATAAAGAAAGAAAACCATAAATCCTACGTTTTTGTGTCACTACTTCCACTTCCACCCATATAACCAGACCCACCATACATAATTGCATGTGATTTCCACACACTATATTCAATAAACAAGGTAATATCATAACTCTCATACTATGTCATTGAACAAGTCATCTAAGAAGCAGTGTTGCAATAAGGGGAGGATACTGCCTTTGCTAATTGTGTCCTTGCCATTAGTCTGGTTTATGACACAGAAGCAGACATCTGCGAATCGGCTCCACCCATCAGGCAGACTATCAGCGTCCGGCACTTTTAAGTACACTGACAAATAGTTCACATTATTCCCCTTTGGATATATCATCAGCTGCCTACAAAACCCAAATTCCCATCAAATATAATCTCTGGAAAAGTATTTTAATCCAACATATGATCACTCATATGACAAAACCATATCAAACCATGTAACACATCTACACATGCTAAGGAAAAAAAAAAAACTCTACAACCAACATCAACTTCCACTATTATTAAGGTAATGTATCAAACGTATTTGAAAAATCCCAAAACCTACAATTATGTGCACTGAATAATACCACAAAGAAACGAACATGAATTTCCACAACCACTGAACTAAAACATTGAATTCATCCGATAAAACTGGAAGATCTAAAATTATATGCTAATAGTATCTATTCAACAAAAAAGAAAATTGCATAATTTGTCCACACCATTAAACTGCGATATTGAATTCTTTGACAAAACACAAAAAATCTACAATTATATGCAATGGATAAGATAGATTCGACAAAGACAAAAAGTACTTAATACCATTTGCAGCCTCCAACAATGAATATTTCAGAGTAGTGTCTCTCAGCGTCCAGGTTCATGAAATTTTCAATCTTCCAAGTAACTCTACAAGTCTTATTATCTGCGCTAATATCCACTACTACAACACCAGAAATGATAACTTAGATTAAGAAAAGGCAACACAAAATTGTACATTAGCTCAAAATTATGACCAGAAAGGAACGAAAGCATAACAGGGAAATAATGGACCTAAATATAGAATCCTACAAGGAAACATAAGATGGACTATTACCAACAAGATGAAGCTCAATGAATCGCTATAAAATCTCATAAATGAAACAAAAACAACAAAATCAGAATTAGCACACTAGCACTTGGTACCTTTAATAGTCTGAGAGGGTGAATTTTGGGTCTCTTTCCCCTGCTTAGAACAAAAATTATAAAATTCAGTGTCTATAGGCATGTTAAAAACCCTACAACGACGAAAACCAAAAGCCTATAAATCAGGAACAAAGAGATTGGAATGACAATTGCAGAGATTTGAAATCAAGCACTAATTTTCACAATACTTTAACCACTCTTGCCAGCTAATGCAAGATAAAGAAGAAAAAACAAATGGTGAAAAGTTGCAGGGAAAATAAAGAATATAATTCAGGTTTAGACATCTTACTTCCAAAGGGGTCGACATCGTCAGTAATGCCAAAGACTGGATGAGGAAAATAACGAAATCTACATATAGAGAAAGGGGGGAGAGAGTCGATTTCCCCAGTTTTTGGAGGGAAAGATATTTCGCGAGCTTGTGGAGGGAAACAGATTTCGGCCGTTCCTTAACATACAAAAAAATAGTGTAGCATACACATTATGTGTATGCCGAGGATACGATACCGACTACGAATTATTAATCATGAAGCATGGTACAGAACGATATCATTTACTTTTGAAACAAAGTCCTCACATCGATCTTTACCATTAGATACGAAATCAGGTCGCTGTAATTAATTTAGTAACCAAGCTTAAACCTAAAAAAAAAAAATTCGAGCTTTTTGATACATCCAAGCTATCAAATCTCACCTCAAATGGTTGTAACAAATCGTTACCACCTTGTATCAAAAGTAAATGGTCTCATAGTATACAATCCTAAAAATAAAACTTTATGAAATAAATAAATGATCACATTGTATACAATCCCAAAAATAAAACTTTATAGAAAAAATAAAAGTGTGGTTTGTATAGAGTAAAGAGCCTAGGCTCTGAACAATCAAATTAGAGCCTACCGTCCAATAGTGTCCAGCATGTGGTTTCAATATCGGAAATCTTTGTGACATCCTTAACATGTATTTTCATCTTTATTTATAAAGTTTAAAGCTCCAAAAATAGTGTAGATCGACAAATCTATGAAAACTTGAAAATCTTGAGAATTGACAGTCAAAAAATACGTTACAAAATACACTGTTTTCAAAACTTGAAATCTTTTTTTTTCTCATGTCATTGCATCTTGATGTCGAGATCATCAATTTGAGGATATTTAGGCATCAAAACAAACACTTCTAATGAAATTTTTGAGGTAGGCTCAAATTTGATTGTTTAGAGCCTCGGCTCTATATAAACTTTTTCCAAAAAATAAACCCGCACTTAAATATGAAAAAAAAATAAAGCCGCACCTAAAGTCCTTGTTTGAAAAGTACTTTTGGCAACAAAAATCTCCTTGATGGCTCCAAAATCAATTTCCAATATCGACAAATGCACTTTGAAATTAAAAAAATAATATAGATCTTGCACGTCTATGAACACTTATTTTTAGTGTGAAATTGATTGACTAGATAATTTGTTACACTATACACCATTTTTGGAACTTGAAATCCTAATTTTTTTCATTGCTACAATGTTCAAACCAAGATGATCGATGTAAACGTTTTTCAATTCTTGATTTACAAATTTCGATGAGTTGTGAGGTGAGGCTTTATTTACTTTCAAACTATTTTCCTTCGAAGGATAATCTAACTAGAAAAGTTTCTATGCTTCCCCTACAGCATAGAAGTTCTATCCTCCCCCTACCATCCTGCCGTCCAATTTTGATCAAGAGAGCCCCTCACCGTT